TGTGTGTGTGTGTGTGTGTGTGTGTGTGTGTGTGTGTGTGTGTGTGTGTGTGTGTGTGTGTGTGTGTGTGTGTGTGTGTGTGTGTGTGTGTGTTGGTATATTACAACACCAGGGTTAGGCCTTCACGACTAGACACTTGCAACAGTCAACAATTTCAGTGTTGAGCCTTGGACTTTTCTCACACTCAAAGATCGCCATATTGGCTATCTTAGAGGCGAGAACATCCGTGATTGCCGGTGCTGTCAAATAAAAGTGAATAATGTTGGGTATTCCTCACTATTTATATAAGTAGGACCATACTATTAGAAGTCATCCTAATTGTATTTGGTTGATGAGGAAGTCTGCAGGCATCATGCACCTTGAACAATAGTTCCTAGCTATCTAACAGTGGCGATCGTCCTTTCTGGTAAATGCTCAGCAGCCGTGTTCGGTTTCAACAGAGCTACCCGGTCAACATCCAGACACTGCTCGATTGTGTTCACCGAGTACAACATGGAAGTGTACAAAGGGAGGTGAGAGGCAGCCTCAGATGTGCCAAGTTCTCACTCTCTGGAGAGCTTCATGTGTTGTTTGCATCATGGTGGAGAATGTGACACATACTGTACATAATGTTGAACTTAAGATGGTGTGTGTTTACAAAGACATGCTACTAGGTAGTATTCTAAAATACCATATGAACAGATAGAGTTTAGTGAAGGAGAGTTCAGAATGAAAAGCATTGTGGGTACTTCACATCACATCATCATGAGTTAACTGCACTGATTTCATGAAAAAGCCCAATGCGTGTGTTGTTTGAGACGCTAAAGAGTTTCTTCCTTTGCAGGCTCTTCAGAGGTTAGCTGTCCAGTACCAGAAAAGAGACTGGCAACGAGGAAACACAGATGCCACCGCCTCTGGGTACCACACTCGCTCGCACGCACGCTCGCACGCACGCACGCATGCACGCACACAAACACACACACACACACACACGCACACACAACGTAGCCTTCTAATCAGCAGACATGTGTTTAAAAGCTGCATTGTGGCTATTACCAATATAAAATACTAGAAGCATAATATAATTTAGTGTGGTTTTGGTTTATGTTCCTATTAGTTCTTCGAAGATTGCAATCAATTTCATTCATTTACTGAAAGGGGATCACTGAGAAGTGTTGAGTGCACTTACAATGGTGATTGCCAGTTCATTGGTGTTGGTGTGTGTGCTTTCAGGAGTGTGTTTGGTGTGTGGCGGTCAGTGGTAGATGCTACAGCTCAGTCTGCCGCATCGCGACTAGTTGCTGCAGAGGAGTACCGCCGCCTGATTGGACAGGTCTCCAGAAGTCTTCGCAATGCAAAGGACATCCGAGCTAAGAGAGTGAGAGACCTGCACAGATCACACATAGTGCTCAAAAATATTAAAACTAGGATCTGTTTAGTTGCATTTCATGTTACAACATACTGAAATTACTGTTTCTATTTAATTCTTAAGTACAATTTAACCAAACCTTTGGCATGTATGCAAACGTTAAAGGAGAAAAAGATGTTGAGAGAACCACAAACAAGCTTTGCTAATTACCAGAGAAAAAATCTTTTGGAATGGGTTTACATTTGGGAAGTTCGAATTGATATTTCATGTCAGTATTAAACGTATTTCATGCTGACTAGAGAAGAGGACAAATATTCGCACTTCAAAATATTCGTGAGGCTTGCAATTAAATGTTCTCCACGTCAGAATGATACAAAACCATTTTTGCAATTTAGAGTCAAAATGTTCCTTTAAAAAACAATGTGATTACTAATATGTGAATGCGAAAACTGTTGGTGTGTGTGTGTGTGTGTGTGTGTGTGTGTGTGTGTGTGTGTGTGTGTGTGTGTGTGTGTGTGTGTGTGTGTGTGTGTGTGTGTGTGTGTGTGTAGGGTCTGGAGGAGCTGCAGAGGGTCCAGGGGGAGCTGGTGGATGCTCTGAGGGAGCTGCAGCGCTTCAAGAAGAGCTACTACCAGCTGAGTCACATCACCACTGTCGCCAGAGAGAAGTCAGCTGATGCACAAACCAGGTCACACTGCATCTGTGAAGCAGTATAAACAAAAATGACTTAATGTTAATCCATTAGAAGATAAGTAGCTTCATTTCAGTGTAAATATGTTGTATTTGAATATGTCTGTCAGGGCCAGAAAGAGTGAACATGGGATCTTCCACTTTAAGACAGGACTACAAAAGATGACTGCTAAGGTATGAATGTTATCACATTTTGTATACAGAAATTAGCTACTAACACAGACCAAATTACCCTGTTGTCCTGTTTGTACCCTTGATCTGATGTTTGAATATTTCCATATATAAACTGTATATGATATTCCATATAAATGTGACATAGCGGGTGCTATGCTGCAGGGGTGGTTCTAGGGGTGGGGGGCAACAGTGGCCAGTTCCCCCGTAACACTGACCAGTGACCCCCCCATCCAAAAAAAAGGTTACAATATTACGATTTATTGGAACTAAATGAAATCAGAGACCCGGATGTACAGTCAAGATTAAACTGTTCGTAACCTTATTAAATTATCACTTAAAGTTACTAAATAAAATACTCTAAACTCTAAATGAAAAAAACTACTGAAACAAAGAACTATAACTTACATTTACTAAAACAAATACCTTTACAAAAACAAATACCAATTACTGTATTTTATGTTTATTTTACACAAATACTTTATACTGTCTTTGTCTTTTTAACCTGCTTTTATTGTGCCCCTCTCATGAAATAACTGGCCCCAGCCTGGCCCCCGCAGTAAAATTGGTCTAGAATTGCCACTGCTATGCTGATTCATTTGGAATGCAAAATCCTGTTGTGTCAACGACTTTGGAACAGAACAACTCCTAAAATGTGACAACATTTGCACTTAACCTGATTACAAATGTTATCAAAGTCCAAAATGTAATAACTTGACCAAGAATCAAAGAACATGACCTGGCTGTTGGATTTGAAATGAAAATAATGACTAGAAGTTAACATGCATATACTTTGAGCAGCATACATCAAAGGCACTTGAATAGAATATCCTTTGGTCAACTATGTGAAGCTAAACAACTCTTATCTGATTATACATCCATGAGCTAAATACATGAAAAAACTCAACACTAGCTCAACACTGCATTTAAGTTTTCAATCCCCCAAGTAGAGCGCAGGGATTTGTAGTCTATCTTGTAACAATGTTGTAGTCAATCCTGGAATAATGACGGCTGGGTCTGTAATGTGATGCCACTGCATGGGTTAGAAAAAGATCTTCCCATAGATCTGCAATGTCTGTTCCTGTCTTTATCACATACAACAATTTCATAAAAAGTTCATTTAAATGTAATTATATCTTTATATGAGAAAATTATTTCATCATCAGCTTTAAAAAAAAGGAAATTACCCATTCAAATCTATTTAATTATCAGAAAATAGTTCATGATATTTATTTTAATAATTCATGGTATTTATTTTAGCGCTTTTCCAAGTGCTAAAAGCGCTTTACATTACATAATACATACTGTATATTACACATGTAATACATTGAGTGGACAAAACCCACAGGAGCAATTTAAAGATGGTTATATGTTGGTCCCTTTTTTCATTAATAATGGGCAATATTTATATATATATCCGATTTAGTTCCGAAATGTTGCGTTCACAACAAAAAAATCCGGAACAAAAATGTGTTCATGTGAACTTTTTACCCCCTTTTCCGTCCCTGCTAGAGAGCAGGGACTTTCGTGGAAGAAAAAGGTTCCTATTTCTGATTGGCTGGTGGATTGCAAACCACGACCCGTAAAATTCCCAAAAAGTTTTGTGAAGCCGCCATTTTATTATCCTCGCGTTAGCATTATTAGCATTAGCATTAGCTCAGTGCACAAACGCAGAGAGACTAACTTGCTCTTAACTCTGGCGATTTAATCGGAAGGCTTCTACTGAAGCCAGTCCCCAACTCCGGGCATTTCCGGACGGGGACTTCGGGTGGCAGTATACGCCTGCCAGTAAACCCAAAGCAGAAGAAGAAGACGTTACGTCAGCGGCTTCATTTACCCAGGGACGGCCCTAGACTTTTGGGGGCCCTAAGCGAGCTTTGGCTTGGGGGCCCCCCTCACTCTAGCGCGTTCTCACTACAACACGGAACCAACTTTTGTCTTATGATGTTAGCATAAGCACACATATTGTATAAATAAGCATGTAAAGACCGTGGACCTAACCTCCTCTAGGGGGGTCCTCACCTCCTCTAGGGGGGTCCGGGGGCATGTTCCCCCGGGAAGATTTTTTTTTAAATATTGAAGTTAAAAGCATCAATCTGGTGCACTTTGAGAGAAAAATTAAGAGATCTATGGATACATCTCTCAACACCCATATGAAACAGAACTGTAAACAAGATTTTTCTTTAATGGATATCTTACAAATCACTTAAAGGCGACCTATCATGCCAAAATGCAGCTTTTGTACGTTTTTATACATGAATAATGTGTCCCTGGGTGTTCCAGGGAAGGCAACTCACCAACACTGTCAGAAAACACAACCCTCTCTATTTTCCTCCATACCCAAATCTCATAAAAAGGGGCTGCAACGGATCTGGATC